ACGAACCCTTGAGACTGTTGCAAACTTTGAGCACGAACGTGCGCGGTGATAATGCGAGAGCCACGCTTTGAAAGGGAGCCGCCCTAGAAACGGTACGTATCGGGCGAAACGCCTGGCCCGCCATAACGGCACGTGTGGGGGGGCGCGACGGGGAGGAGTTATTGGTAAGGACAAGGGACGGCGGATGAGGAGGAGGAAGCGATCAAGAGCGATCAGCTACGTGGTTCAAGAGAGATCAAAAACTATCAATAGCGATCAAGAACGATCCGTATAGCCATTTTGGCTCCAGTGATCAAGAGCGATCAGAGCATTCGGCTACCGTACTTCGACTGACATGTTTCGTGGTAGTTCACGGTCATGCAGGTCTGGCAGCGCGCATCGCATGTTGTGTGGAGCTCGCCATGGGCTCAGCATGCGCTCTGCAACTCGCGGAATGAGTCCAAGACGGGCAGGTGCTGGAAGTGCGGGGTTAAGCAGGACTTCGCGAAATCGCTCGCACCTGGAGGACAGGGATGGCAGCATCAGCATTAGCACCTGCACATGCCCCAGCAGCAGTTGCAGCAGCAGCAATCGTGGCGGCAGAAGCAGCACCTTGCAAATCAGCAGCAGCAACAAGTTGTGCAGCAGCAGGGACAGCAGCAGAACCAGTTGCGACATCAACAATGCATGCGGCCTCAGCCGCATGCCACCACCATCGCGGACTTCTGGTCGGCTCTTCCCGTCGGCATGGGGACCGCTGAGAATGGACGAGGGGGGATTGGCACAGTCGACACGAACCCGGCTATTGCGGCGGAGAGCGGGGGCAGCGCGCACACCGCAGCTCCGCCCGTGCCAACTTCTTGTGACACCAAGGTCATGGAGGGCATGCTGTGGGAGCCACCCGACAACGGGCTCTTCGCCTCCACGCGTTCGCACTTGGAGGGGCAGATTGTCGTGGCCAAGCGTGCCATCACGCAGAGCAGACTTCCGCCTGCGCAGCTGGCAACGTGTGCAGCCGCGCTGGAGCGAGCACGGGGGTGGCGCCTCAAAGCGCAGAGTGCGCTCGCGGAGGCGCAGAAGGAAGTGGACACGGCGAAACTCGACGTGACCAGGCTGGAGGGCGAGTACAAGAGGCTCCAGGCGCAGGTGACCTCGTCGTCGTGCGGTGGTCGTCGGGACTGCTTGCAGAGCATGCCCGAGGCCTAGAAGGACCTGCTTCTATGACATGCAGTCGTCGCCAGTAGTCCTGAGCAGCATCGTGGAGGAGGCCAAAGTCGCCATGAACACGCTGCATCGGAATCTCGTCACCGTGGCGGCCGAGGCCCAGAAGGCGGCCGCCGTGCAGGCGGCGGCCCCGGAACCGAAGCCACCACCGAGGAAGACACGGGGAGGCCCAACTCCCCCCCGGACCTGTCGCCGCGGAAGGTCGCGGCAGGCGGCCCGCATGATGACGCGGGGTTGCGCGGTGCCCCGGCGAACGGGCATCGCCGGGCGAGCGGCAAATCGCCGGGAAGCGCACTTGCAGCAGAGACGCCGCGCGCACTGGACTTCAGGTGCTGACGCGCAGGAGAGGCTGGCGGGGCCGCCCCGGGACCTAGAAGTGTCCTCGCCTCGGCCTTCCCCCCTCCCTCTGCCTCTTGCCAGGGCCCCGGCCTCTTTTGGGCCCCAGCAGACGCAAACCGATCAGTCAATTGAGTTCGTTTGTTGACCGACCAACGACTGCTCGTTACTTGCTGGGCAATGGTCTGGCCAAGACTCGTCCGCCAGTGGGCGGCTCCAGCTTCTCGAGCGCGCTCTCCACCACGCTGGGATGCGTGTCGCCGGCATCCAAGAGGGGAGAATTCAGCACGACCAGCAGTGCGCAGGTGTTTCGTACAGTGGGGACCGGTCCACAAGAAACCTCCCACAAGAAACCCAACCCTGAGACCCCAGGACGCCCATTGACTCTTGGCGTGGGAACGTCACGCTTTCCATTGCAAAACCATCGAAACCCAAGAAACCCAGGGCACCCTGGAGGCAAGCAGGGTGTTCTTTGGCATGGGCCCCCACTGTACGCAGGTGCTTCGCATGCTATGTTCGTATCCAGGTGCCAGTGAGAAGGGGAGCTACGGTACTACGAAGCGGCCATCGCCGCAGCAGTATGGCATCGGCAATTTGGGGTGGGCCCGAAGAACGGCACTGCGATCACGCAGCGGGTGGTCGCCGGCGCCGCGGAGAAGTCGCTGCACAGTGCGTTGCTCAAGCTGGACGTGTCGAGCGCCTCCAACGAGGTCGACCGAGACGCCACGCTGCAGGCGGTGTCGCAGGAGCTCCCTGCGCTCGCTGGCGTGGCGGCTGCGCGGCACGGGGGCGCCACGACGCCCTGCGCCCACCTGCCAGAGGGGGGCGTCGAGCCCGCGCGCGCGGAGCGCGGCCTTGGCCGAGGCGGGCCGTGCACACCGCCCTCGGCGAGGCGGCCGCCGTCGACCCCGAAGCCCGTCTGCTGGCCTGCGTGGACGAGAGCTGCCCGAGGGCGGCGCTCCGCAGCGCTGGAGGCATGCCTGCGCCGCCGCTCCCGCCGCTCCCGCCTCCTGCGGCCGAGCCGGCCTCAGGAGCGAGCGCGGCGGAGACGCAGGACTGGAGCCCTTGGGGGCTTGCAGCGCCCAGCCTCCCTGGCCGGGGAGGCCGTGCCGCAGATGCAGGGCCTCGGGGCCGATCCGGCGGGGGCAAGCTTCACGCCGACAGCGGCCCCCGCGGCAGCGACCGAACACCTGACCGCCTACCTCGGGAAGCTGCGTGGCTTGCGGGCGCACGGGCTCGCGGCGCAGGACGGGGTGGTCCTCGTCGAGACGTTCGCGAACGGGGCGGCGCTGCACCGAGCACGGGCGTAGCTCCTCAGCAAAGAGTGGTGCCGGGACTACGACGCCAAGGTGATGGGGCACCTGGAGGGCATGCTGGGGCGACCCCTGCCGCCAGACGCGCGGGAGCAGCTCTTGCTCTGGCCGAGGGGGGACTGAGCGTGCACAGCACGACCCAGCACAGGCTCGCCGCAATCGCCGGCTCATGGCTCGGCTGCCTGGCTGACGTCCAGCGGGCGATGGGCGGGGCCAGCTCGGGGGCGTTCGCCTCGAGCTGCCCGGTGCTCTGGGGGGCGACGGAGCGGGCTGGCAAACGCGCTCGGGCTTGGCGCTGGCGAGTGGCACTGGGCCGCGGTGGAGCCGAAGCGCAGGGCGCACAAGGCGCTCGCGCACCGCGGGCGGGGCGAGAGCTGGAGGCAGCTCTCGGCGGGGCTGCCGCCGGAGCAGGCTGCCCACGCTGCGCTCGGCAAGCGGGAGAAGCGCCGCCAGCTGGCCCCCCTCCCGCCTGTGCAGAACGACCGCCGCCTGGCGGACGAGCAGTACCTGCCGGCTGTGGCACTGCGCCTCCGCCTCCCGAAGCCCGCCGATGCCTGCAGTGCCTGCCAGCGCCGGCGCGCCGACGGGCGACTCTGCGGAGCAGACATCGCGCAGGCCACGGCTGCCCCCTGGACTGTCATGTTTAGAGGCCTCCTAGACAGGGTCGCAGTGGATGGGGTCGGAGGATCGCGCAGCATCGCCGACACATCGACAATGCATCGGCGATGCATCGGCGATGCATCGGCGATGCACCAGCGATGCATCGTGGACGTCGGCGATGCATCGGCGACGTCGACGTGAAGCAAATCGGGCTCCACATCGAGCCGCATCGGCGATGCATCAGCGATGCGGCGCGATCTTCCGACGCTATCTACTCCGACCCCATCTAGGAGGCCTAAAACGTTGGCGCGGGCATGACAGCGCGCCACAACGCCATCCTTGATTGGGTCGCGCGCTGGCTCAAGGAGCGCGGAGCGAGGTTCGTGGACACCGAGCATCACCGCGAAGCTCGCCCCAGCTTGGCACAGGACCCGCCGGGCCGGCCGCCTGGAAGCGGCGCGCTTGGACGCGACGCTGTGTGGACCCCGTGGTGGGCACCGCGCACGTGGACGTCTTGGTGACGGACGCCGCGGCCCGGGCCGCGACGCCTGCGGGGCAAGGCCGGGCCTGGCGCAACGGGGCCGCGGCGGCTGCGGCGGAGGATTGAGAAGGGACCGACCGTCACGGCATTTCTATAGGCCTACCACGACATGTTCGTAGAACCCGAAAATGTTTTAATAACAAAAACAATGTTCTTATAACATAAACCTGTTGTGTTAAAACAAGACTGTCCCAGCCGGGAATGTTCTAAGAACGTGTCCTGGAAGCCACAGAAAGATTATTAGAACATTGTTTGGTAGGCCTATTAGGACGCTTCGCGACTGCTTGAGAGGAGCGCAGTCACCGCCGCTACCCCGGCGCGTCGCTGTGCGCGTTCGCGCTGGTGGCGCTGGGCCGGCCGGGGCGCGAGACGCACGACATCCTACGCACCTGGGCGGCTCGCGACGCGGCGGTGCTCTTGGCGGCGCGCCAGAGCTTGGCCGCCACCCTGCAGAGGGCCAGCGCCGAGGCGTAGAACACCTCGGTGTGGCCGCCAGGGCGGCGCGCCCTGCCGAGGCGCTGAACAGCTGACCGACGGACCGCCCGAATCCGCTCCTCACCCGCTACTCCACCTCTCGTCCCCTCTTCCTCCACCGCTCCTTGCCTCTGGCGGGCGCGCGCGCGCCTGAGGGGGTGGGGGGGGTGGGTGGGGTGGGGGGGGGGGGGCGTGGCTCACGCCCCTCCGCCCCGCGGGGGAGGGAGGAGGAGAGGAGGAGAGAGGGAGGAGGGAGCGAGGAGGAGGGGGGGGGAGGGATGAGGAGGGAGCGGGGGAGGAGGGAGGGGCGGGGGAGGAGGGAGGGAGGGATGAGGGAGGGAGGGAGGAGGGAGGGAGGAGGAGAGGGAGGGAGGAGGGAGGAGGGGGGAAGGGAGGGGGGGAGGGGAGAAGGGAGGAGGGAGGAGGGGGAGGAATGAGGGAGGAGGGAGGAGGGAGGGAGGGATGAGGGAGGGGGGGAGAGGAGGGAGGGAGGAGGGAGGGAGAGAGGGAGGAGGGAAGGGGAGGAGGCAGACCTCGCGGCCGTAGGGCGTCTGCACGAGCAGGGACATCGGGCCCGCGGCCCGCGCCCGCCGGCGGGGCCCCCGGCGGGGGGGGGGGGGGGGCGGCCCCTGCGGGCAGCCGCGGGGGCGGGCCAAGGCCGTGCGCCCAGGCGGCGCCGGAACGCGCGCGCGCAGAGCGCGAGGAGGGCACGGCCTGAATGCGGGAATGCGCCATGAGGATTGTGTTGTTCCCATCGCGCTCAGGGGACGCGTCCCAGAAATAATTCCGAGCCCCCAGAAAAGCATCGAAGCAGTGTCGAACGAGTATCGCCTCCCAGGGCCCGGGGCCCGACACGTGAAAACCCTCCAGTTTCGGTACCTTTCTTGGTGCTCGAATTTGTTTCTGGTGATCAAGGCTAATGTAAGCTGGAACATCAGAACATGAGGATGCAATCCCCTTGTCCGCCGCCCCATGTCGAGGCTCTTCGGGCGGGGCTGGCCATCAAGAGCGGTTTAAGACTGGAGCGAAGAGGCAAGGATGCAAGGGTGCTCCTGGGACGATGGCCCATCCCCATCATCGGCTTCGACTGTGCAGCCAAGCTGCTGCCACTCAGAAGCGCCAGCTCAGGAGCGAGGCTCCTTCTTGGGACACCTGGAGCGCCTGGGGGAACGAGGAGGCCTGGAGGAGCAGCACCGGGGAACGACCTGGGGAGCAGCGAGCCCCTTCCGGGAGACCAAAACGGCCCTCGCGTCAGCGCCCTTGGCCGTGAAACCGTCGCTTGGATGAGGAGGAGGCGGAGGCGGAGGCGGAGGGAGGAGGAGGAGGAGGAGGAGGAGGAGGAGGAGGAGGAGGAGGAGGAGGAGGAGGAGGAGGAGGAGGAGGAGGAGGGAGGAGGAGGAGGAGGAGGAGGAGGAGGAGGAGGAGGAGGAGGAGGAGGAGGAGGAGGAGGAGGAGGAGGAGGAGGGAGGAGGAGGAGGAGGGAGGAGGAGGAGCCAGTGTCCGCCGGGGCGGCGGGGCGTGGAAGGCCGGCGCGGGCGGGCCGGAGCTCTCGTGTGGGGAGGTGGGCGTTCTCGACCGTTTGTGCGGCAGGCTGTGGAAGCTGGGGGCTTCGATGTGGGCGTGGAGGTGGATGCGGAAGGGTGGATGCTGATAACTTGTGGTCGTGTTCGGAGGGGTGCGCGTGGGGTCTGCAGGTCGTTCGGTGGAGGTGGATGTGTAAGGTTAGAGGCTAGGCGCTGGAGGTCGACATGTGGAACTGGATGACGCTGGACGCTGATAGGTGGCATCGGAAGCAGAAAGTTGGATGCTGGATGCTGGAGGTCAAAATGCTGAGCCCGTGCTCAAAGAGACGCTCCGCATGAGGAAGAACAAAGTACACACCTTGGAATTCCGGCTCCAAAGACAAGTCGTACAAATGTGTTGGCGCCGCGTGGACGCCAAAAAAGAAGCTCATTGCACTCGTCATGTTGAGAGGGCGGAAAGTCCACCCCGATAATAACCACCCCGACACGCGAGGCCGTTTCGTAAACGCACCCAAAGAAGGAATCAAGCAGGGCAGAGCTGTTTCTAGTAAACGCCCGGGGCCGTTCAATACACGCCAACTGTCGAGTCCCGGTGTTTTTTCCTCCCTTGAATGTCACGTCGCATCCATCCTCCGCCATCGTCTCGCTTGCCCTTTTTGAGTATCGTTTAACCGATCCCCATCCCCAGCGGCGTGGCCTGGGCCCCACTGGCCGATCTTCCCCCCTGGATGGGGATGTGGGCCGTCCCCTTCGGGTTTCCAAGGGTGTAGCCCCAACTGGGGTGGTAATTTGGTGGGGGTCTCGACGGGGATGAGGATGGGGATGGGGATGGGGGTCGGACTTCCCTCGTGGTGCCCGCTGATGGGGGCGGCCGCGGAGAGTGCGCTCCGCACCCTCCTCGCGGCCAGGGGGCGACGAGCACGCAGGCCGCAGGCGGCGGGGCGGGGCGGGCAGTCCGCGGCGCCTCCTTCTTCCGTGTGCCCCGCGGCGTGGGTGGAGGAGGAGGAGGAGGAGGAGGAGGAGGAGGAGGAGGAGGAGGAGGAGAGGAGGAGGAGGAGGAGGGGAAGGAGGAGGAGGAGGAATAGGAGGAGGAATAGGAGGAGGAATAGGAGGAGGAGGAGGAGGAGGAGGCGGAGGACGGGCCCGGCCATGCTCTCGCGTCGTGGCAGAATCACGTCGGTGGGTGGGTGGGCCGTCTTCGGCCGTAGTGGCCCTCGCCGGTCCCTGGGACCGGCAGCGATCGGCTCGCGGTGGAGAGCTGGCGTCTGTGCTGGGGGCCCCGCGTAGGAAAATCGGGCCATCGCGTGCCTGGAGGCCCTGGAGGCGTGAGGGGGTCTGGTCGATGTTTCCCCCCCTTGAGCCGGTCCCCCCTGACGTTGCCCTTCAGATCCTCGACGATCTGCGACGAGATCTTCGACGATCTTCGACGATCTGCGACGAGCCTCGACGGCCCTGCCCTGCGACGATCCTCGACGATCTGCGGCGATCGACATGGGTGCGCGCGAGGATGGATCGAGGGAGGGTCGCCCCCCCACACGTGGGGGCAACGCCGCCCGATTGGGCGACGGAGCGCGCCAATTCTGCACGGAAGCGGGACCCGTCGCTGATCCGCTCGCCTTGACCTACTGGAGCCACGCGCGCACGCTTCGCGCGCGCTGAGGGTTCTGGCCTGCATGGAGGACCAAACTGAAAGAGGCCGCCAAAACACCTGATCGGACAAGAACGGGAAGCGCCGCTTTAGTCCAAGGGGCCTAGGCGAAGAAGAAGAAGAAGAAGAAGAGGAAGGCGAGGGCGACGAGGAGGCGATGACGAGGACGACGTGGAGAACGTGAGGATGGCGAGGGGGAGCATGAGGACAATGAGGAGGATGAGAAGCACAAGGACGAGGACGAAGAGAACGAGGGCGAGTTCGAGGAGGAATGCGGAGGACGATGACGACAACGACGACGGAGGACAGTAAGAGCTATTGGAGAAGGATGTTGAATCAGGAGATGGTCCGGGCTACCCTGGGGGCTCCTGGCGCCGCGCGGGGATCTTGGGGCCCGTTGGGGGCTTCTTGGGGGCCTCTTGGGTCCTCTTGTGGGCTTCTGGGGTCTTCTTGAGCTGTCTGGGCGCGTCGTGGGGCTTTCTTGGGCCGTCGCGGCGCCATCTTGGGCCGCCTTGGGGCTTTCTTGGGCCGCTTCCCCGAAGGGGAACCCGAGCCCGCATTTCGAGCCCTCGGCCCCCAAAGGCACCCTAAGAAGCCTCCACGAAGTTCCAGGAGGACCCCACCAGGCCCCCATGAAGCGCCCCAAAGGGCACCAAGAAGCCCCGAAAAGTCGCCCACAAGGCCCTCAGGAGCAACACACCACAACCACCAATCCCCAAAGGCGTCGGCGGTGTGGCGTAAGCCCAAGAAAACGATGACAATAATAATAATACTGATAATAATCATAATAGTAATCATAATAATAATAATAATAAAACTAATAATGATAATAATAATAACACTACTAATAATATCATCATCATCATGGTCATCATCATCATCATCATCATCATCATCATCATCATCATCATCATCATCAGCATCAGCATCAGCATCAGCATCATCATCATCATCATCAACATCATCATCGTCGCCATCATCATCAACATCATCATCATCACCACCACCATGAGTCATCCGCATCAGTATCATCATCATCATCATCATCATCATCATCATCATCACCATCATGACCATCATCACCATCATCACCATCATCATCATCACCATTATCATCATCAGCATCATCATCATCATCATCATCATCATCAGCAACATCATCATCGTCATCATCAGCAGCATAAGCATCAACATCATCATCACCATCACCATCAGCATCAGCAGCATCATCATACATCATCACCCTCTCCAGTCATCATACTTCTCCTCATCATCAGCATGCATCGTCATCATAATCATCAGAATCACCATCACCATCTCCATCTCCATCACCATCACCATCACCATTACCATCATCATCATCATCAGCATCATCATCATCGGTAGCAGCAGCAACAGCATCATCATCGTCGCCAGCCTGGTCATTGCCATCGTCATCTTCATGGTCATCGTCGTCATCATCATCAACAACATCATCATCACCATCATCATCATGACCCGTCATTGTCATCATCATCATCATCATCATCATCATCATCATCATCATCATCATCATCATCATCATCATCCATCATCCCCTCCAGTATCATCGGCATCATCAACATCAACATCATCCTCGTCCTCAGCGTCATCGGCATCAGAATTATCAATACCGTCATCAGCATCACCAGCATGATCATCATTGCCAACATCCTCGCCATCGTCAAATTCATTCTAATCCGTTTCACCAGCATAATCATGACCACAACCATCACCCATCATAACCATCACCATCACCATCACCATCATCATCGCAGTCGTCGTCGCCGTCGTCGTCATCATCTCCATCACAATCACCATTATCATCAGTATCACTATCATTGCCGCCATCATCATCAGCATCGTCGTCAACATCATCATCACCATCATCAGCATCATCATCGTAACCATCAGCACCCTCATCATCGCCATCATCATCATCAGCATCATCGTCACCATTATCATCACCATCATCACCATCACCGCTGACGGGCTCACATATTTCGAACACACTTTTTCGTCGGCGGCTAGGCAAAGGGTGACTGCGCTGGCGATGAGGCTTAAACGGGGGTTCCGTTGGAGCGCATGGTGCCACCATGCAAGAGGTACTTCGAACAAACACCCAAACCTCAAGACAACCGAGGTGTCACACGTGACGGCGTCAAGCACCTTGCTCCAAGAACCCTCCAAGACGGCCCTACGAAAAGCGCGCCACGTGTTACGGCTCTCCGAGGACCCGAGACACAATATGTCACACGTTCGGACCTCCGTGCTCCCTCGCGCACAGACCACCGAGAAAGCTGGACTGGCGCGGTGGCGGGACTTGCCGCAGACAACTGGATACATCACGAGTCCAACATAAAATCACGAGGAGTGCTTC